ACACTCGGGTGATGTGTATTTTCGCCGACTGATGCGAGATAAACCCGACGCTTGTAGCTGTCGTGGTGCCTTTCATCCCAGTCCAGTGCGGTGGCTTCATAGGCTCCGGGGGAAGCGTTCGCTTAATCCCCAGTGGAGGACGCGGCCTTGGCCGAATCCTTTCGTTTCTCGTTCTTGGCTCCCTGAAGGATCTGCTGGTCGCGTGCACGTGCGTACCGTAGATTTTGACTCACGTCATAGCACCCGTAGTGTGTAAAAAAAGGTCCAAACTTTCGACTTGGCACGCTGTCCTCCTTTTTTGCGGAGTATTCTTTTGATTGCTTGTCGGCTGGTTGGACGGCCGGACGAGCACACGCACGTACGTGCTTCGACCGACCAATCATGCGTGCTCCGCATAAGGAAATACTGGCTAAGTCGTCGTCATTGCGGGCTTGTTGAAGATGGCCAACGACAAACTGTGCCCAAGGTGATGAGAGTTGACATTGATAAGCTGAGAGACCAGGCGTGGCGTGCACGTGCCATGCATGCGGATATGCATCCTCTCTTGCTGCAGCGAGCGGCCACTCAATTCGTCATGCAGTCGTGTGTGCGGAGGCCCCGCGGTTGGTGTCCAAAATCGAAGAAATCATGAGCAGGCTGACCGATGTTGATGAGGATCGGATCAGCATTAGAGTGTTTTTTCATTGATTGTCCCGCTGTTTCCATTCTGGAGAGTACAACAATGATCAACAGGAGCATAAGTCCAAGGGCTCCGAACTCGATTCGGCTATTGACGGGTTAGCAAACCAGATTGCCGGAACCTCAGATGCACTACGAGGATGGCTGATCCAAGCAACAAAGAATCGAGGCTTCACATGTCCAGCGGTATGATGAGCAGCACACTGGCTTGAGCATGCTGCTGAAGGCTCGAATTGGTGACCATATAGAAAATCAGGCAGCAGTTGCTTGTCCGTTTGTGCTAGGACATGTCCGACAGTCTGGACATACGAATCGCAGAAATACGGGTTTGTGCTGAAAGCACAGCAGAGGCCGCGGAGCGTGTTTTGTCAGTTGTCTTATGTAATCGACGACCGCATGATGTGCTTTGGATCGGAAATGAGGGAATGTTGCAGGGAGATTCAATTTGGCACAATCAACGAACTTCCGTCCCCGGTCATCCGAAATCTTCCGAATCCCAGACGCGGGGATCTCGGAGTGGCGAGGCAGTTGGAAGTTGTCATACAAGAAGGAGCTGGGTGCTACGCACCGATTTCAGCTTTGCAAAGAAGCAACAGACAGCAACAGATAGTCACAGTAGCCGCCCTGATCGGAGGCGTGCCAGCCGAAGCTAAACTCCAATGTTGCGGTGCTTCTGTGAGTAGGTTTGGGTTTGGTTTTGTGCAGTTGTCCCTTTTTCCCGTCGGTGTGATTCCGTGTGGGTGGGTTTGGTTCCGCGCTCCCTGTGTGGCTTCATGGCACGGTGAGGGGCTTGGAAACGGCAGACGCCCGACCATTCATATATCGTTCGACGTACCTTGCTATATATCTATCAGAATCCATCTATCTATCTATCTAGCTAGCTATCTATCTCTCTATCTATCCAAATCCATCTATCTGTCTGTCTGTCTATCTTTCCATAGTGTCAGTGTATATGCAGCTTATTTGCATGACGTATTAATGCAAGCATCGTTCCGGGCTACTGCAAGCGCTTGTTGAGGATCGAGGGTGGAGCGCCACCACTTGCTTCGGTGCGGTGCTTTGCACTTCGAGGGTCGTCGCTTCCGGCACTTGATGCATTGCTCGGCCTCGTGGTGGGCACGATTGTTCCTTGAGTGACCTGTTGGGCCTCATGGCTGGCGGGCTGGCGGGTTTCTTCCGGAATTTATGGGAGACTCAAGAAGATCTGAACCCTAGCTCCAAATTGAAGTCAGCAAATGACTAACTACTCTCCAGAACCCGTCCTCAAGCTCGCGTGCACGCGGAGAGAGTGCGGAAGAGTAACTGTAACAGCTTCAGATAAGAGTGTACAGCTACCGCGTTAGTATAGCTTGAGCCAGTCGGCACCTCCGACACATCTGATACGAGCTACTCCGACGAAGATACGAACGAGTCACTATAGAGCTCTTGCAGAATGGAGCAGATCACGCCACATCACATGCCGCACTCGCAAAGCACGGAGACTGCTCGAGCATTTCTGGACATCTCACCCACAGCCTATCCAGGAAGAGTTGTGTTGTCCGAAGTTTTCATTTTGCGGCGCTGTCGGGCTGTGGCAAGGTAGGAGACAACAGTGGCCATCAACCATAGACCCTCTGCACTCATAGACGTGCGTTGTGGAAAGATCGGTGAGCTTGCCTTTTCTGTATTCTCTTGTCTGTGTGCCGGCACTCACGTGGTTATTTGGTGACCCACAGTGCCATGCAACAACCTGTATCAAGCGCGTGTTTATTTCTTTCAAGGATCTCTGCTGTGCATTGATTGCCCTGTTCTGGCCTGGCAGTCTTTGGAACTGGTGAAGCGAGAGGATCTCAGTGGTTGGTGCCTTGTTGGGGGAGTGAGCTGCATGCTGTTCATGAATCAGGGCAACTTGAAGTCCAGTCAAAGCCTGAGGCTTGGCCAGAGAACTCCTTACTCTTGATCAGAAGGCGGGCATGACATCCTTCTCCCATCGCGTGATCTTGGCCGCGCAAGAGGTTGCAAAGTGGGTCCACGCCACTCCGTTGCCAGCGAAGATCAGCGAGGCCAAATCGGAGGAGTTGACGTGGTGGCGCTGCCCTGCGCTGCGCCGCCACCGAAACTTGAGGCTCGCTTGTACTCCCTGGAAGCTCGCCTCGCCGATGAGATGGATGCAAGGCATCCGATGTCCCGGCAGCTCTCAGCACGAGACCAGTGTAAGTATGTCATGTGCAGTTCAATCCCGTTCTTGTGAAATGTTGCGACGCATCCGAGCACCGCGATCTCACACATGACGGGGATGAGGGCAATGCCCGTCTTCTGTCATCAGAGCACTGCAGGCTCGCCCTGGAGAGCAAGGCAAGGCGCTTGTAGCTTTGCCTTGAGACTGTGCGGCTGCTTCCTGGTCCAGCGGCTGCTTGTTGCCAAATTTTGCCAAGGTTCGAAGACACGGTCCGCTGACGCCGCGCATGACCAGGAGCGAAGACTCGGATTTGGCAACCGGCTCGGTAAGTGCTGTGGATGAGCTAACACTTTTCGGGCCTTCATTCTGCGAAGATCTAGGGTTTTGCATTGCTTAGCATCTTGAGATTTTTTTTTGCTGGCTGATGTTGTCAAAGGTTTTGGTGGTTCACTTTGGAGCGATGTGTTTTTCCAAGGTGGTGCCCGGCCCATCTTTTCAAGACTTTCGGGGTCGGCAATGCCAAGCCTCTCTGCGTTGTCTCGTGCATCCCTGGATGTTGGAACTATTTGCACGTGCTCGGTTGTGAGCTTGTGAGAGGTTTTTGCAACACTGCTTGAGTGCTCGGAAGCTTGCAACGAGCACAGCGAGATGCTGAACCCAGTAAGGCAATGACTTCCCGCAGAAGAAAGGTGTGCCAGTCGTGTATGAAAGTCACTGTCTTGGTGGTAAGCACTGGGCAGTTCTTCGAAAACGTCGGCAAGGTGCTGCCACAGCTCTCTCATGACTCATTCAGCCAAGGCGGGAAGACAGTTCAAAGCAAGCAGTTTGCTCCGGGAAGACTTGTCCCAGGCTTTGCCAAAGGAGCGGCCGTGGCCCCCAGGCCAGGCCATCTACAAAACAGTGCAGGGCAGGGGCACAGAGGGGCGCAGAGGGGCAGAGAGGGGTTCAGGGGCAGGGGATCCGCTCGAAGCGCCAGGCGTGGCGGAGTTCGGTAGGTGGCACAAGGGAAGATTTTCTGCACGGGCCCTGGTTTCATGCGCGTCAACCGAAGGGTCCACCTGCACTGTCCTTTCCTGGACCGTAAAGCATCTCAAGCAAGCATGTGCCTTTTGCGCAGCTCACTGGCAAGGTTAACGTTCAGGCAGGTGGTGCTCTGGCCAGCCCGGTGTACCTCTTGCGGTGAGAGCCTTTGCTCTGTTTCACCTGGAGGGCGCCATGAAATCTTTGGCGCCTTTACACTCATTGCAGAGCCAGACAGAAATTGCAGTCTGCCGCTATTCCGCCTGTAGTTGCAGTTCCCATGAAAATACGTGTGTTCAGAGAATGAAATTCTCTTGTCGGTCCTCCTCCCCGTGTTGGTTGAGGGTGGTTGGACCTGGTTCGGATTGGGGCGTGTCATCATCCTCCCTCTGCGTTCTCTGGGTTTGGGTGTCGCTTTGCTCAACCCCACCTTCTGCTGAGGGTTTGGGTGTATTTAAGTTCCCTTTGGTTTCCCCGTCCGGCGTCTGGTGTGGCTGCATGCGCATCACATGGGTTTCAACCGCCCGGCCAACCCAATTTTGTAACTGTTCGCAAGGCAACCCTATCCCTTCAGTTGTCGGCGCTTTTGGAGACGGCAGCCCACTATGATTTGGAAGGTGAGCGATTTCCCCGACTGAAGCTCACGATTTGCGCAAGCAAAAGGTGTCAACACGTGGACGGACCTCCAGTCTGATGCTGAGCCAGGGTCCCGGGCCACCAGAGTCTCGCATCTGTGCATCAGCGCACAGGGTTTCTCTTGCAAGTGGAAGATAAAACGAGCACAGACAGTTTGACCAGACTTTTGCTGTTGCACTTCTCCAGAGAAGGCAGGGCTGCTTACACATTAAACAATGGACGAAAACTTCCCCAACAGTCTAGCGAGCCCTGTATCCCACGCTGGTGCTGCCGCCTAGGGACCCTTCTCGCAACAAGACAATGCCGGGGGCAATTGCGCGACGCAGTCCTTTGGAGTGTAGCTAACGGCAGCAAGGTGCCACCGAGGTAAGAGATCCTATAAGTAGTGATGGAAACTGAAGTGTCCAGAAGATTGTAGGGCATGCTGCAAACGTTGCAAAGTCATGCCGTCTCCGCACCATGTCGTGTGGAGGTGTTTGGGAGGTGGAGAGTAGAGAGGAAGATGTTGCACTTCGACAGCATGTGCGGGGGTAATTGACTATGTCTTGCATGTAGTACTCAATCTAATAGTTGAGTATGCAGCAGCTGCCAATGTCGATGCCATGCAGCCGTCTGAACGTCGGAGCCTGACCGTGTCGGTCTCTCGGATTGCAAGATGCATGATTGGAGCGCCAAATTTGCAAGGCGATGCTGCAAAGCATCGCGACTCGGACTACCACATCACACATCACATCATCACACCGCATCGCAAAACCATAGGAGGAAACAGCCAGCAGCGTGTAGGAGTGCACCACAGCATCTCGTCAAGAAGGCTTGGAGGCAAGCTTGCAAGCTTGGTCACCCATTCTGCAGCTTGAACCGCAAAAACCGGAGCGAAGTTTCGAGGAAATCTAGGAGCAGAAGGAGTTGCAGGGGCGAGAATCAGCAATACGAGTGATATAGCCAGATTAGCAGCAAACACAGCGAGGAACGGGGTTGTACGCAGTTTTACATATTTTTTTGTTTAATGGTTTTTGTTTGGAAGAGATCGCTTGTGATGCTGTGGCCAAGGTGAATCCAGCGTGCTTCATCAGATGGCCGCCTGCCACCCCCACCATCCCGGCGGAGCAAAGAGCCCTCCAGTTCCGGCCGATCAGCCGGAATGTGTGTTCGACAGGTCTGAGCTCCTGTAAAGTGCATGCAGCCGAGCCGGGAAAGAGAACGCCAACAATCCTGTGCATCGGCGACAGCTTGACTTCTGGAAGTCGAGGCTCATTCTCGTATCCCGAAGAACTTCAAGCGATGCTCGAGCAAGAGGGAATTGACATGAAGGTTTCCAACGGTGGCAACTGGGGTGATACCACCGACCAGATTAGACGACGCCTTCCCTCCTTGATGCAGTCTGTCATGTCTCAGGGCGGTCGCTTGGCATTTGTTCTGGTGCTGGCTGGCACAAACGACTTGTTGCAGCTGCCGCCGCTTGAGGCGACAGTGAGCCTTTCGATTCCTCGTATTGCAGGAAAAATCAAGGAGATTCTCGACATAGCCTCCCAGGCTGCTTTTCATCCTCATGTTGGTATCTTGTCTCTGCCGCCTCTGCTTAGCCGAGATGTCGGCAGATTGAAGTTGAACCAAAGCTTACGTCAACTATTCGGAGCACCAGGACTGCCACACAGATCCCAAGTTCCAGGAGCGGGCGCCCGCTTCCTGGTAGATCTAGACACCGTGGATGCAGCTCTTTCAACAGACGGAGTCCATTACGGCCAGGAGGGGTACAACCAGTTCGCAAAGCGAGTGATGCAAGTAATTCTGCCAATGTTGAAAGCCGATGCAGCACACAGACGTCTTGCAGTGTCCTCGATCTCGGCCTGAAGACGTACACGACATAGAGGCGACCAGGAGTCACCAATCTCAACCAAAAGAGCTCTTTGCACTGGACTTCTGCAGGCAGAGCACAGGTCCTTGCAATTACGTAGCAGTAGCTTGACAGATGAAAGATATGGTAGCCCTCAATAGCTGTAGTGGCATTGCTCATGTTGTGACAGATCCACAGCTTTTTTGCTGCCATGATTGCTGAAGCGCGCTGCGCAAGCGGAAGAATCGATCAGGCCATATCAGGATGATTATCACCAAAGGCCACGCTTCTCGTAACATGATGCCACAGAAGCACAGATTGGTACTTGTAGTCGGAAGCCCCACACCATGTCCAATTGGCTTGGGTCCGCACACGAGCAGGCCATTGCAGTGGCGATGTGATCAAAAAATGTGGTAGTCTTTGTCAAAGGCGCCATCATGTGCTTGCAAAGGTTTCCAACGCCCTGGCCAGCGCGCCAAGCCTGCAAGATGCCGCTGCGAAGCTGGGCATCGGTGACTTTTCACAGCTTGGCTCCCAGAACTTGACCGCCGGAAGGTGGGCGTATGCTTGCTCTCTTCGCAGAGGTGGGCCAGCGCGATGGCCTTCGACCTGCACTCCCAAGCACGTGAGCAGGCTCGTAGTGACAAAGCCCAGGGAGCGAAAGGAGCACTGGGGGCCGGTGCGGGTGGATGCGGGTGGATGCGGCAAAGAGCTGAATCGCATGCTCTGCGTGCAGCAGTGCGTGCAGCACCGTGCAGATCCGTGCAGCCTGCTGATCGACTTGTTTTGCAACCTGTGCACAGGCTAAGGAGCTTGTCAAGGCAAGAATGAAGCACGAGTTTGGGCCAGAGATCCTTGATATGCTGAATGCACTCTCGGACTGCACGCGGAAAATCTCAGAGGACCACCTACATGACTTGCATCTCACTTGTTCAGCTGGGTGACGAAAGATGTGCTCAGTTGGCCTATGCTTGCCAGCGGTACTTCGCTGAGCTGCCGAAGTTTGTGCAAGGAGTTGAAGCTTCAGAATGCGAAGTTTGGCATCACTTTGGCCCTTCCATTGGTGCTCGCCTGATCGTGTTAGGACATGCCATGGTGGTGTGCGGACTTTCTATTTCGATCTCATTGTGGTGGCTGTTTTTATTCATTTGGCCAGTCCCAGGTGGCCGTGCAGCACAACGCGCTGGAGCCGCCCACATGCGAAGGACTTTCGAGGGAGAACGCGCAGTCCGAAGCGCAGGAAGTGCTAAGCCGAGGACTGCTCCTTGACCCAGCGGTGGTGGCAGAAGGTAATCATTGGGCTGGAGCCTCGAAGAGACTCGAAGAGCCGGGACAGCCTTCAGGACATGGCAGGCTTTTGACACCCTAGCGAACAGACTACAGCTCGAATGTGTCAAGAGACGAGCTTTGAAAAAACCACCATCGAGATCTTTTGCAGTTTCGTGCCACCTTGCCACCTCTCTGTCATAGATCTGCAGAGAGATTTTCAAAGCTGCTGCAGCTCCGACATGAATTTGTCGACTGGACTTGTGACAGGAGTGTAATGTTGCAACTGTCTCAAAAGTTCCACGTATTGGGACGCAACTGATGTCCAGCACGGCACAACATCTCACTCAAAAGCTGATGGACATCCGTCGCTCCCAGGTTGATTTTGCCCAGGGTGCCTATGGGACTTCCGACATCAAAGGATATGACAAGGCCCGTGTAGCCCTGTGGCATGACTGTGGCATACAGCGGCATCACTTGTGCTGTTTGGGCGACAGAACCTGCGGGGAGAGCTTGGAGGCGAGTGTGATTAATGCCATCGAGCAAAGCGGTGGTGACAAGTGTTTCGGCCGGCACTCGCATTTCTACTTTGGTCCGCTCGTGTCCTCCAAGGCGTGGGATCGAGGTGAGAGTGGCGAACCTGCCGGCCCAAGGCGAGAGCCAGTCAGCTCAGCTAGTGCTGCAAGTAACAGACAGTTGCTGTCACTGCAAGGGGTCCAAATGCCGGGACATTATGTGGCGTTGGACAGGACTGCAAAGAGGGCCGCTTCGAACTTGCTTGGATGCTTGTATTTTGTTTGCCCTCAATCGAAACGAGCTCCGCCTTTGTCGATTAAGACTCTCTTCTCGTCCTCGGTCTCGAGCGCTGCTTTCCGTCGTCATGCAGCGGATCCTGCACTTTGCACGCGTCCCAGTGTCACTGACTTGCTCCGCGATTTTGAGCCCTCGCACATGTTGCTACTTGAAGGATCGTGTCGTTTAGGAAGTAATTCAGTGAGGATTTCGGTTGTGTTAGTCAGGTTTTAGTCAGGTTAAAATTTATAATTACTGTAAAAAAGCTAAACAGTTAGTTTTATGGCACATAGAAAGTGCGAGAAATCACGTATAACTACTTGTCACGGATGGTATACGGATACGGTTACAACACTTCGTTAAATGGCAAATAAATGACTAGTAGGAATTGTGCATGATTTATCACCATTTGGATGACAACCTACAAGTTTTACCAGAAGGTAAAAAATGAAGTAAGTGCATTTATGCTGTGCTGGGAGACACAGGACAGCAGGCCATGCAACCAGCGAGCATACGCTAAACGATTGCATGGTCGGCATGTGCTTGGAGACATGCGACAGATTGCAAGCCAATGATGGTGTCTCATATCATGATGCAGATTGTCTCGTCGGCAGGCGGCAGGGCAATGTGCTCGCCGGCAGGCAGAATCACACGTGCGTTTTCCACTGCATTCAATGCTACAGCCGTGGAGCCGCGAGATGCGGGCGAGATTCAATGTAATGTGGCCTTTTTCGAGGCGGCTCATGGCATGCTGGGAAGCTTCGATGCAAGCTCGATCACATGCTTGAGCGTGGCAGCCTCCCACATTGCGCGCCGAGGATCCTGTCCCATCTCAGGAAATCCAGCACGATGGTGGCGAGTCAATCTGCGACGATGGCCGGTTGAATCTGGAGCTTCTGCGAAAGGAAGACGAGGTCCTTTCTTCCAGCTCAGACTGGCGTGACATGGAAAATGCTCACCAAAGAGGCCGCCTTGCAGCTTCCACACCTTTCGAAAGGTGCAGAGGATGGGGAATGCCACACTCCAGTGGCAGGAGCATGAGCTTCAACTGATGAGGCGGCTACATGGAATGTGACTCGCTGAGTCGGCACAGCAGGAGCAGGTGGATTTCATGTCCACCAAGCGGAAAGTCACCACCGGGAAAACCCTGCACCGGAAAGCCTTGCCTCACCTATACGCGTTCGGGCTGAAGTTTGCCGGCGGACGAGTGCCGTTTCTCTTAGACGAAACGGAATCCTTGGTGCGAAGACACAGCCCACGTACTCGCAACCTTGGTGCTGACTTGTGGGAGAAAATCTCTCAGAAAGTCAAGGGAACCAACCAATTCCCCAGAGCTAGGCATGCACTGGCCACGTGATTCTGAAGCAGTACACTTTGTCGTTTGTTTCATGTACATGAACATTTTCTATACATGCCTGTCCTGACATGAACAAGCCCGGGCGAAGCTCTCACATGCCAAAGAAATTGCTCAGGCAGCCGATGTCAACAGACTGTTGCACAAAGATTCGATCGGTGAGGCTCGGGTCGCAGACGGATACATGCAGCAGTGGCGACTGCTGATCGAGGAGCTTACAGACGGCAACGATGTAGTTGTGATCATGCAAGGCATCTGTCGCCATGCCAGCGACTCGTCATGGAGTGACCATGCCATGCATGTGCAAACCGACGCTGGCAGCCCGAAGCCTGCAGCATTAGACGATGCAGGGACTCACTCTGGATGGGACTGTCAAGGATGGATTGACTCTGTTGCAGGATGCTGTGTTCGCCATCGGAGCATTTGCAGGAAGAAGTCCGATGGACAGAATGAGCATGCAGTTCACGGGTTGCCAGAATGGCAAAGTGCAACTGAAGCAGCCCGATGGGAATCTAGGAATCTAGGCACGGAACTGATGGATGTGTTTCTCAGTGGAGACTGGGTGACATACACTCCCAAGCCCGAGCCCGTGCTTCTCACAGATGTGTTGCGGTATGCCCCAAGCAAGCATCCTGATTTCGAAAAGCAGCAGATGCAAGCCATGATCACACTCGACATGTTCGAGCTGCAGGCTAAGCACGAAGTAAAACAATATGCTCGATCGACTTCAGATGAACTCGAAGCCACAGAAAAAGGTCGTTGCCATGAGCAAGATTGGTCGTGGTTCGGTGCCGGAGGATTGCGTCGAGATCTGCAGTCTTTGGTCACGCCTGTTGGGGTCACTTTTGGTCATATCCCATGTTAGTGCTGCCGAAGGCTGAAGGAGATCCGGGTCCAGGCCACGCGCGACCATGCAACATGGAGGTCTTTCACTTCAAGAGTCAAAGGCGCAGCAAGGTGCAGCTGCCAGTCCTGAAGAATGTGCAGGAAATCGCAGAGAGCGAGAGCCTTTTCAGGTACAAGGCAGGGTTGACGTGCCGGTTATGCCTCTCGATGCAGACTCCCCGAGCCGGGAAGAGAATGCGAGCCAAGGCTCCGGCATGCCCCCAGGACCCCTAGGAGGCACATCTCAAGCACATGCACGTTGGTCACAAGCAGGAGGACATGTGGAAGCATTGGCACGTGCATGCATGCATGTATCCCCGTGCTTCAAAGTGAGGGCGACGACCATGAAGGCAGCAACCAGAAAGCCACGACCAGTTCTCTGATTTCCTTTGTTCTTGTTTCCTTCGCTACTGTTCCATCTCCGGCGCGGCTCCGGAGGAAACCAGGAGCAGACCCAGAACGGCGGTCTCATTGCCCCAAACCCTTCGACCAAACGGACTCCTTGTTCAGCTCCACCGCTTCTTCTTCACCTCCTTCAGACTCCCCGTCACTCGAAGAGGCCGGGTCATCATCCGGAGGCGGCGGGTCCGTGAAGCTTCCAGCTCCGGTGCGAGGCGTGGGCTTTCGAGCCCACGGTGCTGGGCATCAGCATCCGTGACCCCAGCTTGGATTCCTTTTCATCCTCCTCTTTCTTTTTCTTGGGAGGTGGTGGAGGCGGGAATCTAGCCTTTGCGGCTGGACTCTTGTGTTTCTTTTTGGGAGCCATCCGCTTCACCCCTTCCTGGCGCGGCAGCCAGCTTCTGGGGGGTTTGCGTAGGGCCGGGGTCGAGTGGCCTCAGCCGGCAGACGACACATAGCTCTTGACCTGCGCTCAGCCATTGATGAATTTGTCAGCAACGATTGAGGAGCGGAAGGTTCCAAAACTTTCGATCCAAGTTCGAAAGACAGCCTGACAGTCCCTTTTGTGCTGCATTTTGTTTGCTAGATGTGCCAGGGTTCGAAAGCTGTGTCGTTGTGTTAGTCGCACTTTGAGCTAGTTGGGCCTAGGTTGACCTCAGCAGGTTGACCTCAGCTTTTCGGGGGACGCCCCAACCGAAACGCAAGCACAACCGTCCTATTTTCCTTAGTCCGGCGTTTCGTTGATGATTCTCATATTCAAGCTTTATCTGTGGGACGGATGGAGAATGGAGCCCCAAGAGGCTGAACTGCTCGCTCGACATGGGTTTCCGTTGTGGACAGGGGATGCAGTCACTGACAGGACTTGAAGTGACCCAAAATCCTTTTTTTAAGTGGAATCTCAATGGAATGCCAAGCATTGTGGCTACGGTCGTCGGGCAACTGCCGGCCACTCGTCGCATAGAGTCTACGGATGCTGCGTCGTCAAAGTCAAAACAGACATATGTATATAATATATAGAGATAGGTTCATATACATATATATATATATGTATGTATACTGTTGCGTTGATTGTGGAGGATTTTTCCTTGCACCAGCATGCAACAGCTCACAGGAATGTGTCTTGGCATGGCATGCGAGCCACCACCCGCCGAGGCCTCACGCATGCCTGCATGCGAGCATAGCCCTGGAGTTTAAGGGGTAAGGCTTTTGGGGGCTTGGGATTTGGATGGCTTGTGAGGTTTTACAGTGCTTGTAAGTGTTTTCGGTGCTGTTGGGGTTTACAAGGCTTATGGTGTTTAGGGTTTAGAGCATATGGATTTTAGGGTTGATGGCCTTTAAAGTTGGGGGTTTAAAGCTTGAAGTGTTTAGGGTTTAGAGCTTAGGGTTTTTTGGGGTTTAGGGCCTTCGGTTTAAGGTTTAAGGGGGGCTTGAGGCTTTTCGGGTTTATGGATTGGGTTTTTTTGGTTTAGTGTTAGGGTTTAGGGCTAAAGTTTAAGGCTTATGGCTTTAAAGGGTTTAGGACCTAGTTTTAAGGTTTATGGCTTGTAGCGTTTCGGGTTTTACGGTTTCGAGTCAAGGTTTAGGTCCTGTGGTTTTGAGAGGTTAGGGCTTACTTGAAGGTTTTTAGGGTTTAAGGCGTTTGGGTTTTTAGGGTT